AAAAACAAATGAAGAAGTCTTGGTTGAAGCAAATAGCAGAAGACAGCTTAAGACGAATATACAAAAACGACAGGCAAATTTCTTCGGACACACAATGCGGAAAAAAGCATTGGAGAATATTGTAACAACAGGCAAGTTCGAAGGAAAGAGAAGCAGCGGCAGACAGAGGGAAAAGATACTGGACAAGATGACAACATGGCTGGGAGCAGCAATAACAACAGACACCATTGCTGCAATGGAAGACAGAGTGAAGTGGAGGTCCATGATCGCCTACGCCAGTCGGCAAGGCACCGGATGATGATGAGTGGAACTAGCAACACAACTAGGTCATATAACTTAGTGCCAAAGACTAGAAGTGTTATTAGAGAGTAACATAAAAAGAAGTGAAAGAGGAGAGATAAGGATGATACGTTTCTTTGATATGGAAGAAGGCGCAAATCATGCTAGAGCATAAGTGGGGAAGGGGGGGGGGGGGGGGGGTGGAGTCAGCTAGGTGTTTTTGTCCTTCCCCATTAAGATATAAACACAAAGATACAAAAACAAATACATATATACATACAGGCACACACACACACCCACACACACGCACGCATATACACACATATGCACACACACACACACACACACACACACACACACACACATACATATGCAAACACACACATACACACATATATATATATATATATGCATATATACACACATGCACACACAGACATTGCCAGTCATTCTCTCTTTCATTCTGTCTCATTCTCTCACAGTGCATGCACTCTCTCTCTCTCTTTCCCTTCCTCTCTTTCTTTCCTTTCTCTCTCTCTCCCCCTCTCTCTCTCTTTTTCTGTCTCTCCCTCTCTCTCTCCCTCTCTCTCTCTCCCTCCCTCTATCTCTCTCACTCATTCTCTCTCTATCCCCCCTCCCCATACCCTGGAGATGTCCCTCAGATTGAACAGGTAGTGAATCTTGGTGGGCGTGGGCAGGAACCTCTGCACCACAGCCTGGTACATCTCTATGGTGGCCTGTGTCATGATGTCACCAATCGGCTTCACCTCCTCCTCAAAGTCCTGCAGTTTCTGGTTGATCATGCTGCCAAAGATTCGCTTGATCTGAGACTCCTGTAAATGGAACACAAAGCAAAACGCAGGCTGGAAAAGCAGCAGCAAAACACTGGTGAGAAAAAGAAAAAAATTACAAGAAGCAGGGTGGAAAAGAAAGATATCAGAACACAGAAAAGGAAATAGAAAGAAATGAGGGGGTGGGATACAAAACCTGCTTAGCGACAGTTTGGGGACAAAAAAGAGAGATTTTTTGCTTGTTGTTGTTATCGATCTAGCAACAGCTGGGCTCTCCCCCTTCTGTCCAATGCCATGTAGTGATAAGTGCAGGTTTGCTGTGTTCCATAGAGTGTGTTGTCAACGTTAGGTCTCGGAGGGAGAAGGGTAGCTCTGATGTCATTTAGGGCTGTGCAGTGGAACAGGTGATGATCCACAGTCTCATATGCGTAGTCACACAAGGGACACATTGGGGGAAGTTCCGGGTTTATTCCGTTCAGATGGAAGTTGAGGTGTATATGTTCTGTTCATAGGCGGAAGATCGAGGTCTGTTTCTTTCTCTGTATGTGGTTGATATAGTCATTCCTTTTTGTTGAGGTCATATGTTTGAAAACTGTTCTGCATGTCTTTTTTTTTTCATATAAATGCGTATTGTTACTGACTATCAGATGCACAAAGTGTTTGTGGACAAAACCCAACACATACTTCATAAAAGCCACCAAAAAGTCTTTTTTTTACTCATGTTCGTGCATATAGCAGCATAAAAAAAGTTGGTTTTCTCAAAAGTGCTAAAATGGATGTAGCGGGTTTTGCATCTCAGCACCTCAAATGCAGGTTAGAAAAATAACCCGATAAATCAAAGACAGGAAAACAAGACAACAGCGTATGAGCAGCGAAAGAAAACCAAAAAAATGCAGGCTTAAAAGTAAGTTTTAAAAATGCTGACAGTAAGAGACAACCCAAGAAAAGGCAGGCCAGTAAGAAAAGCAATAAATAATGTCAAGCAGATTAAAGAAAACTATGAAAACATATGGGTTACTTTCCCTTTCAAATCTAGTTTTTCCAAAAGAAGACATCTCGTATCAGAAAATAGTTTAGAACCTACTAAAGCCCATCTTTTATTTTTTTAAAACATCTTAAAAAATAGGGTTAACTTTGCAAATGCAATCTTTCATGAAATGACATTTCAGAAGGTATTTCCAAACTTGCAAATCCTTTTGCGTTTCATCAAATGAAATCTCTGACAGAATTTTTGAAAGTTGATAGAAATTCTAGTTGTGCATGCTTCCTGGGAGTCTGAAAATGTTCCTGAGTGTTCTGCTGTTGAGCATGGATATGCGCAATATAATAGTATTATCATTATTACTATTATTATCATTATTATTATCATTATCATTATTATTATTATTATTACCATTATTATTATTATTGCTATTATCATTATTAAAGTAATTATCAGTAATATAATATTCAATTCTCTACAAAACAAAACAATCAATGAAAAAGCTAAATAAAACACAAATCTTCACTAACGTGTGGGAACGTCATGTTGATGAGGTTGAAGCGGCTCTGCAGACGACGCGAGATGACCATACGCCCACCACCAGGGGGCCCCATAGCCGAGACCAGCTGCATGTCCCGGATGTACTTGATGGTCTGTCTCTGTCTGTCGTACCAGAAGCCGTAGTCAACCCACAACTTGATCAGCTCTAGGGGAGGCTGAGGTGGGGAGAAAAATATATATTTATGAATAAGTAAAAACTCTCGGTGTTAAAAAAAACCATGTATATCAATTAGTAAAAATCCCAGTGTAAAAATAAATATATATATATATGAATAAGTGAAAACTCAGTGTAAAAAAGAATAAATATGATTGAGTAAAAACTCCTCCTGTAAAAAAAAAAAAAAAACTTCCAATGTAAAATAAAAAAAATTAATAAGTAAAAACTCCTGGTGAAAAGAAAAAACTTCCAGTGTAGAAAAAAATATATATATAAAAGTTCACTTTCATTGGTCTGTGAAGGAGAATTTCAGAAAGCACAAGACACAAAACAAAAGCTAACTTTAAAAAAATCTCTTTCTCTTTCTTTCTCTCTCTATCTCCCCCCCCTTCCCCTTTCCCTCTCTGGTTGAAAAACCGAACGGGCAAAGGCTTTTTCCCCTCCCCCCCCCCCCTTTATTCACAAAAATCTTTTTTTTTCATTTTCATCCCCCCCCCCCCCCCACCACACGCACCTCGTTCTCTCTCCCCCTCCCTCCCTCCTCTCTCTCTCTCTCTCTCTCTCTCTCTCTCTCTCTCTCTCTCTCTCTCTCTCTCTCTCTCTCCCTCTCTCTCTCTCTCTCTCCCCCCCTCTCTCTCTCACTCTTTACCTGAGAACCAAACGTATCCTTAGCTGGCATGTTGAGATCATCCATGAATGTCACCATCTTCTTCCCTCCGATGGGAACGTACACACCTTTGGTACGCTTCTCCACGCGGGACTCGATGATGTTCTGAACTTGGTTGGAAGTGGTCTGGGATAGGACGGTTGGAACAACAGATGTAGAAAATAGACAACGACGATGATTATTTTTAAAAAAAGTTTTCGTAAGAGTTTTATGGCAATTGCAACACCCAGCTATAGACAGTGAAAGACCTTGTCAGTCTGTTAGTGTTTGAGCGCTTAACCATCTGCTTGCACTGAATGCTTCCCGGGAAGCTGAGAACGTTTCTGAGTGTACTATGGTCTGCTGGGGTAATAATATAGTGTTAAGCGCACAGAGCTTGCTTTCGAGTGGGGATATGCGCTATACAAATGCTATTTATTATTTATCATTATTATTACATTTTCCATGATTCATGTTCAAGTGTCTGTAGGAATGGGTGTGTAACTGTGTGAGTAAGTGTTTATTAGCACATGAGTGCACATGTCTGTGAGCTTGAGTATGTGTGCGTGGGTGTGTTTATGTGTGGGTGCGTGTGCGTGTGTGTGTGTTTATGTGTGTGTGTGTGTGTGTGTATGATTGTGTGCGTGCATAACTCCGCCATATGCTCGTTACCATCATCATCATCATCATCATCATAATCATCATCGTCATCATCACCAACTAAACAATCCCCCCTTTTCTTGTTTTGTTTTTCATGTTTTGTTCTTCTTGAAACATAACAATTTGCACCATCCATTTCAACACATTATTACATAACCTACAAATATCGGCATGAAATATCAGGATACGGGAAAAATAAAAAAAGCAAAAAAAACCCCCAAAAAACTGCACCATAATATGTCACTCTGAAAAGTGACCTACGATGAACTTTTAAGCTAAGCCATCGGTGTATACACCCACCCACAATTCCTCCAAAAAACTTCCCAACCCCCCACAACCCTGTGCTGTGCCACCCCCCATAATCCCCCATGACCTATGACCTATGACCTCCGTCTGACCTGGGCGGACATGTTGACCGTGAGCATGTTGTACGCCGTCTTGTCAAACTTGGACAGCGTGCTCTCCACCACCGAGGTCTTTCCCGTGCCCACGGAGCCCACCAGAAGTACGGGGTTCTGTGAGCCGATCAGAGCAGCGGTCAGGAACTGGTACCGGACCATGTCCACCGTGGGCACGATCAGCTTGAAGAAGGGGACGCTGGAGAGAGAGAGAGAGAGAAGCACATCGTGAGAACAAATTGTTGGAGAATCGAAATCATTAGAAAAAAATTGTTGGATCAACTTGTTAGATTATCGAAATCTTGTTGGATTATCAAAATCATGAGAAAAATGTATTGGAGAATCAAAATCATGAGAAAAACTTGTTCAAATATCAAAATTATGAGAAAAATTTGTGGGATTATCAGAAAACATGAGAAAAACTTGTTGGAGTATCGAAATGATGAGATCATGAGAAACACTTGTTGGATTATCGAAATCATGAAAAAACTAAGCCTTCTCTCTCTCTCTCTCTCTCTCTCTCCTC